GCCCTGTCCCCTGGGCGGGACGGGACTGGACTGGGCCCTGTCCCCTGAGCGGGACGGGACTGGACTGAGCCCTGTCCTCTGAGCGGGACTGGACTGGACCCTGGTTCCTCTTTCCTCTGAGCAGGACTGGAATGTACTAGATTCAAGGAAAAACAGGTGAGATCTGTCTCCTGTCTGCTGATGTGACTTGACTTCTGCTCATTTACAGCTGTGGAGTTGTGCTGTTTATTGTGTGAGATTGATTCAGTGCGAGTCCAGTGTACTTTGTCTCGGACGTGTTTGGGGAGGGTGAGAGGAGTGAGAGTCCAGCTGTGATTTCTGGGCTGCAGACTTGGGATAAGGGGGTGAGGAGGGTGTCTGTGTTTTTCAGGACTGCTGGTGCTGACTGCGTTTATTACCGGGAAGCTGTGTGCTCTTCTGCTGTGTGAGATCACCGCGTCTCGTCTCTGTGGGCTGATGGGTGTTGAAATGTGAACTGGGAGCCGAACAATCCTGTGTGTTAATTGAAAATCGGGAAATGTTCTTTTTCACAGCTTCTGTCTGTGGTCTGTTGTCTTACAGTCTCTGCTTGAGGACAGTAACCAAAGCCACAGCTGAGCACGAGTCCGTCTTCTTGAGTGGTTCTGGAGACCCGGGTCCCAGCATGCCCAGCATGAGCCCTGTAGGCCGACCTGGTTCAGAGGAGAGAACCTTTACAATGTGTGGCAGTCTGAAAGTCTGACTGTGTGGAGGTGTGATGGTGTAACAGTCTGACAGTCTGGCGGTGTGGCATTCTGGCGGTCTGACAGTGTGACGGTGTGATCAGGGCTTTAAAATTTGAGCTGGAAAGTGACAGATCTCTGATCCAGAATGGACACAAGTGTGACAGGCAGGGACAGATTTTTGCTGGAATGTGCAGACAAACTGTTCTGGACTGTAGCAGAGAAGCACAGTTAACAGAATAGTGGCTGAAAGATCTGCAGGCAAACTGCTGCGGAAAACAAGTTAATTTCCTGCCACAGAGCCAGCGTGTCAGAACCAGCAGGTGATGGAGGAAGAAATAAAACTGATCAGAAGACAAAGAGACGAACACAGAAACTGACAAACTGACCCTCGAGTAGAACATTTGTGATGAGAACATGATTTCAGTCAACACACTGCACTGAGCCAGTTAGCTTGATGAAAAGACATGTTCAGGAAGACCATTGATAGAGACAAGTGTTCAGGCACCTTCAGCACAACATCCCACTGAGGCTCATTCAGAGCTGGTGAGAGTGTCAGTCTGAGGCTCTTGGCCTGGAGCTGGTGTCTGCTGTGTCACTGAGGCTCAGGGCCAGGAGCTGGACTGGATACAGATACAGACATTGCGGTCAGTGGAGTCTTATTTTAAGACTTAGTTTTGGAATCAAAACTTATTATTGTGACTCTTCAAAAAAATACAATTTACCTTTGAATATTTGTCATTTGACATTTGACTTATGAATATGGCATTTACCCAAGATGACTAATAAATTCATTACTGTTAAATGTTCTTCTTTCGAATTTCCTCTTACATAGTACAACAAAATATCAAAATCATTGATATAAAATCTTAGTATTCTATATTTCCAGAGAATTCCCATGACGTGAATTTAAGTGCTGTGTCTGGCGACTTCTGTCGCTAAGGTTGGCGCAGGAGGTGGCCAGTTTAAGAAGCACTTAGTGATGAACGAGCGGGTCGGGGAGCACGTAGATTACAAAGGATTTAACGTTCTACTTAAGTTACGATGGGTTTTGGGAAACACTCGTAAATTAACGAATAATCTTAAGAGCGAGTTTACGATGTTCTTAGCGCTACGATGCTTTCGGGAAACTCACCCCAGACTTCCAATGGATCCGGACTGGATCAGACTTCCACTGGATCTGGACTGGATCAGACTTCCACTGGATCTGGACTGGATCAGACTTCCAATGGATCTGGACTGGATCAGACTTCCACTGGATCTGGACTGTCAACAGAGGAAATCAGCGCGGACTACCGGATGCCTCTGTGGAGTTACCGCCCTCGACGAGTGACGCGGCACTTGGCCAATCAGCGCGGACTACCGGCTTTTTCCGCGGAGTTTCCGCTCTGAATTTGAGAGGCTCCGCGGAGATTTCTTAACAACTCAAACACACATTGAAATCTACCTCTACCTTACATGTCAGAAAGCCCACTCCCCATAATTTTCTATCCTTTTATTTCATTCTGTTGATGCATGTTTTTGAACATCTGATGTTGTTTTGCACATTACGTGTTACCTTTTGTTGTTTTGCACACTGCCTGTTGTCTCTGTCTTTCTTTTATTATACAATTGTATTGTTGTTGTTTTTTTGTACTACGTATCGTCTGAGAGCTAGCTAAATCGCATTTCGTTATACCATATACCCGTCTGTGAGTAGGATGACAACAGACGTGACCTGGAACTGGAGCAGGCGGCTGTTGTCCAGTCACACAGCTTCAGCCCCGGCACTTCTCCGCATCCCGGCGGGCGGTGACACTTCTGAGAAATGTCCACTGGGCGGCGACAGAGATACACGAGTCTATGGAGGGGAGTATCACAGCGCTGTTGCAGACTCTTGATGTGCGGAGATTGAAAATCAGTGTAGATGATAACTGTGACCTTTCTGAAAGCAGCATGGAAACCTAACAACATTTATTTTGGTTATGTTGTGGTTTAGAAACATTCTGGACTGTTTTACAAACTTATATAAAGAAAGAGACTAATATTCATATGACTTTTAAATAAATTAATTTGTTACATTTGAATCCCATTGAAAGTAAGATGAAAATATCGTTTGTATTTTTTAAATTATTATACTTGCACGATATAATAATTAACGGAGTGGTGTGGGAAGAAACCCATGTTTGAACACTTTAAAACAGATTTAAAGACGTACCGTACCGTGTTTAGTTGTAAGAACGTTGAAGCACGGACCTTATCCGCATTTACCTTGTTTAATCTTTTTTTTTAAATAAAATGTACATGTATTATTGCATTTATCCCTAACATACGCTTGATATGTTATATGTATTCTTGTTGTATTGCATTTTTTGTTCACTCTAAATCAGTGGTTCTCAAACTTTTTGGACCAAGTACCACCCCTAATCCAACCAAAGCATCCAAGTACCACCTACAAGTCACCATCTCATAGGAACCCCAGAAATTCTCAATGACCAACATGAGCGCATGTGCACACACACTCACACATACATATAATAAATATTATAATAATAAACTTTGTTTGATATATTAAAATGTGGCTTCTCAAAGTGTTTTACAGAAAAAAAAACAA